TTTTCACATTTCCAATAACAGTAAACCATTCTATTAGACAGCCTCAATAACTAAGATGGTAAATCCACTGCAGATAACACCCCTCTCTTTCAAATAACTCAATCAGCTCTAAAAACCTCTCAGTAGTAGAATCCAATTAAAAAAAGAGATGAGGCCAACACAATGCTTGACATTTGTACTTGCCTTTCCTAAACTTTTTGGTTGGTATCTTTTTCAAAGTTGATGGGGATAACCTGTTGCGCCTTTGTTCTAGGTAATGTCTGTAGTAGCGACTGATCTGTTGAAATATCACAGATTGTATGTAATATTACATCATACTATTATATCACTGACACAATAAGCCCTTTAGTTCAGGTACTAAAGTCTTATTGTTGATGGTTCGCAGGGCTCGACACTAATGGTTACCCACTTGCCACAGACTAGTAGTCATTTGGTTTTGGCTAGTAGTTTTCAATTTCCACAAGCCAGTTTTGATAGTAAACAAACTGAAACTGTTGTTAAGTGTAAGATGTCACAAACCACTTGGCTAGTAAGTTGAAAAGCTGGTGTTGAGCCCTGGATAAGGTATTTCACTACCACTACTGATCAAGACAAAATTTTTCCTATCAGTACGATATCAAGCAGAAAAATGATAAGAATAGAAAAATATGTTAACTTGGGGATTATCATTCAATCCAAAACCAAATTTTCATGACAACTTCATAAAAAATATATGGCTGACAGCATTGAGAATTTTCATAGAGATAATTATTGGGAGTGAAAGTACATTGTATTTAGGTATGGAAAGTTGATAATTGGCAGTAACAGCTCTTATTATCCAACACTCTGTGGAGTACAAATAATGCCCAAGATGAGTACAAATATCAGATGGTATTATTTTGTACTCTAGAGGACTAGTTAGACAGGTTTTCTTGCATTGTGCAAGTGACAAATTGGGTTGAAGTTACAAATACAAAAATGGCGGACAATTTAGATCATTTTTCTGATGACAAAGAGTCAGAATGGCAGGCAAATATAGACCCAAGTTTATTAGATAAATTGAATGAAGAAAGGCAGCTAGATAAAAATGAAATTTCATCATTTACTTAAAGTGCACCTGACCCCTAAATTTTTTTTCACTTAAAAAAATCTTCCTGCTTTGGTGAGTATTTCTTCGAAAAAATTGTTCGATTTGGTTAAATCCTCATTCTTTTATGCCCTGTTGAAGTCGAAATCCGAATGGACCACAACCGCGTACATGGGGATCTGGGCAAAGTAGACTTGTGATATCACTTCAAGAAGATGCTCAAGGAATTCTCAGCCAGTCGTCAACCTGTGAAAGCCTTTCTAGGAATAGATTCCTTCTGCGGCATATTTGCGACCAACATTGATCTAACCTTCCAAACATAACCAGTGAAGTGTGCAAAATGGCGCAAAATACAGATTGTTGGGTTCTCGAAGTGACGTCACATAAGTCGCCAGACTCTTGATCCTTGAAACGCAGTCGTGAGTCAAAATGTCAGTGATTTTAGTGTGATTTTCTGTACTTCAATGGGCACAAAAATTGAAGGATTTGACTAAATCCAAAAATTTTTTTGAAGAGATACTCACCAAAGCATGAAGATTTTTTTAACACGAAAAAAAATTTAGGGGTTAGGTGCACTTTAAGAAAATAGAAATTACAGCAACTTGACAACATGCCAATTTCGTTCTGCTTCATGCACTCCACGGACATTAATATCTGTGAAATTCACCCACACTGAAATAACAATGTGGTGTTTTGGATAATAAATAACTTATTAGACATTTTGGTGTGTAGTATTGCTGAGTATTTTTACTCATTATTTGTATTTTGACTCACCTCACGAGCTTGTCAAAATACAGCACAACTTGTAAAAATACTTAGCAATACTACTCGACAAAATGTCTAATAAGATATATGTATTCTTGGCAGGTTCTAAAACAGATTTGTTCTACATGCATCATGTTGTTTATAAACAGACATGGTTGAAGAACAACTTTGAGTATGGGATGTTAAAACAAAGTTGCCTATTACATGTCAAGATTACTTTGTTCTGGATGCCCAAGTGTGTAATTTACTCTCAAGTAAGGTGATTTTTTTTTTAATGATGATTGCTTGGGGAAACTATTGTTAGCTCAGATACAACCAATAAAATCGTTAGATGCACAAAATTTTTTCGGAATATCTCCTGTAAACTAGTCCAAACTGAAGAAAAAATGTATTGTTCTTTTGTCTTGATTTTAGTAAAATATCTTTGAATTTGGAAGATGTAATTGAGGCAAAGAAGGCAAATTAGTACACTGTATATGAATAAAAAAGGATGAATACAAAAAGAAATATTTAAAATTGTCATCACTACAGAATAAGGTTTGTCTAGCACACTCACCATAAACATTGCCATCAAAATAAAACAGATTCCTACGATGATTGCAAAGGGAATCATATAGAATTCATAACCCCACATGGGATAATCTTGAGGGGTAAGATATACTCTACTATTCCTGTA